TTTTTTTTTTCAGTTAGTAATCGATTTCATTCATGATTCAATTTTGCTATAAATTGATTTAAATACTATGTACAATAAATTTTACGCATATGATTTAAAAAAGATACGCACAATAAAATAAGTGCAGAGAAACATTCTGCTGGGATCTCCCTGGTTCCCTGGAATAAATGTAAAATAATTGCTTACTTTACTCGTAATAGAGCGTTTTGAAATGACGTCGCGGCAGCCATATTGGTGTTCCAAAACAAAGAAACGGTGGCCATGTTGGTGTACCAAACCAATCCTGTGGGAGTTGAACTCTTTTGTTATATAAACACTTCTTTTGGCTCCAATAAATTTACATGGGTGCTAGCCACTGAATGAAAACGCTCTATTCTGACTTTTTCTGGTCGGTTGCTGAATGTCAGCGAGGAGGGATGGAGTGAGGGAGGCAGTATTCCGTCCCAGTAAACCATTTTTCTGCGGTTATTGCGGCAGAGTTTTGCAACGCGCAAATATTGAAAAATGCCAATTTTCACTGATCTGGAGTAGCCGTCACCTTTACCCTGCGAGCAAGGTCTCTTGGCAGCTCCCAGGGTAGGGAGGGGGTTGGAGGGAAGTGAAGGAGAGAGAGAGCTCGCAGGCGACACCTTATTTGGCACTCAAACTCTGACCACCAGTGTGAAAAGAGAGCCAATACCTCATTACAACATGATGCACAAGTTGCCTCCTACCCAGGTATCTTTAACACTACGCCTCAAGTTCTCTGTGCCCAATCTTCGCTTATGAAATTTGACGGCGCTTGGGGAATGAGGCAGCAACACAAGAGTAAAGCCCTGAGGAACAAACTGAGCCCGCGCTCTTATAGGCCAATTTTAAAATAACATTTTTAACTTGGCTCCGAGGCTTAGGGGAACAGAACAAAATAAATTAATTTTTCATCCCTTGTCGTCGATGCGATTTCTTTGTTTTATCGGAGCCAAGTTAGAGAATTTTAATGTATCGAAATTGGCCTATTTGAAATACCAATCAGATATATCTCCATTTTCCTATCACTTAATGCAAATAATTTTACAGTGAGTAGACACCCACAAATTGACTTAAGCACTACCCTTTATTTTACATTCATCTCGCAGCATACAGAGAGAAGAAACAGCAGTTTACTAGATCTCTGAATCCTGTTTGACTGCTTTCTTTTATTCTTAAATATATAAAACAGCAATACGAAATCCTCTACATTTTGCTAAAACCCAATTCTAAAGCTCTAAGCTTCTAATTTAACTTTTTGCGTCGTTTCTTTAAATTACTACAAAAATAGCTAATAAGTATCCTGTGAGAGAACATTTTACTTCAAAATAAACAGAGCGAGTGCATTCAGAGGTTTAAGCAATCTATTTTTGAATGCAAAGAAATAATCCCGGTCCCTTCAAGATTTCGCTCACCTGCTAAAAAAAGGCCGGATATTAGAGGAAACTCTGCCAAGTTTTTAAATCTAGCACCAAGTACCCTAGTACCCTAACTTGTTAGGGTAAAAAAGGCGCTTTATGGGAAATCTCCATAAAATCGGTCGACGAGTTTCTGATAGCACGAGCACTTATGAGCACACCAGAAGCTGTCCCGTCAGCGTGGCACCACGCGGGCACTTCTTGTTGCTTAGCAGCATTTCTAACTAAAATCCCGGATACAGTTTAACTTATGAATGAAAATATTTCTTGTTCCCAGTACCCTCTCGCCTATAGGTAATTTCACCGATGACAATCATTGTAGTCAAGCCCGCCACACAAGCGGTCCTGGTCCACTTGAAAGTCATCTGTATCTCCTGAAAACTTGTTACTTTTGTCTTCTTTAAGCACGAGCATTTGGTGATAAGGAATTCAATTTTTCGTGTTTAGCTACTTCACTCCTCGAGTCGGCCTTCTTCGGAGTCAATTTAAGCAGTTCTAACTTTCAAGCCAAGTGTGTGATCACCATTCGAATGACCAGCGCTGTCATAAAGTGCTGTTTACGGTGCTGTACAAGGTGGTTTTAACTTTTGCGTTTGTAGATGAAACCACTGTGTGCGACCATTCAAATGAAAGCTACTGGACAGTACTTTCATATGACATCGCATGTTTTTGATTATCATTAGCACAATAAAATTTTTGCCGATTTTGAAAGAACTTGGCAACTCTTAGGAGTAAAGGACGTAAACACTAGAATATAAATCCCCTATCTTAGCGCGGCCATAGATTATTCTTGCCACTTTCTTTAACATTATAATTTAGGGAAATAATATAATTATTCATTGTCTTGTTTCCTCGTCAAACATCCGCCGATGTTCCTTGTGTGTTGCTCGTGATCATTCTACGACGAACAACTGCAAACACCACAATACAGAGCAGAGCGAGAAGTCCCATGACTACAGACACTCCAATCAGGGGATCTTGTCTTGGCGCGGAATCTGAAGGACAAAAATAAAAGGGAAACAAAGATTTGACTTGTTGCATAGACATGCATTTGTCTACTTTCTTAGGCAGCGTTCACACTACGCCGGAGAAATTTGAAATCGCCGCTTTATTTCTACAGTTAGGTCTACCGTCCACACTAATCCGTCACGAAAACGGAGCTTTTCGAAAACGCTCTCAAAACCGGAAGAATTTGAAAACGCCGGCTTTGCGTTTTAGTCTGGACGGAAAACATTTTGACAACGGAGCTTTTCGATAACGGTGACGTCACGATAATCACGTGATTTCCCTGCCTGAGTTTTCCTCAAATACAAATCCAAAATGACCGGTTACTGTGGCATTTTCAAATTCCTCCAGCGTATTGTGGACGGAAAGCATTCGATGCGTTTTCAGAGTGAAACCTCCGTTTCAAATAGACTTAGACTACAGTTGTTTCACAATAAGATGCTAGATATATGTCTCTTCAAAGAGTCTAGACCATACCTTTAATTTCCTCGAAGTTCGTCAACCAAATCGGGCCATGGCTGAGTAACGTCGTATGCACAGGCGCACTGTAGGGGAGGGCTCTGCGATGACGACTCCTCGGAAGCAGGTCGCAATTTTTAAAGCACTCAGAATTTGGATCTGAAGAATTGCAAACGATGGCCTAGGGAAGAAAAAGCAGTGTTTAAAACGGGTGTGATATAAGACGGACGGACAAACGGACAGACCGGAAAACAGGCCAACTAATTAAGAAACAAACAAAAACGAAAATATACGAGGTAAGGTCGGACACTGCATATGGTTCTTTCATCACTTTCGTTCAATGATGCGAAACAGTTTACAAATTATGTTCACACAGACAAAGAAAGGACACTGGAAAAACAAACAAGCAAATCAACAAATAAATAAAGGAAGCACAATAAGAATAAACGATTTCAAGACCTGACAGTAGCAAGGAACAAAAATTTAGTTCGTCGAATTTTAATAGCCACAGAACAATCAAGTAGCGATTGCTAAATGCTTGCGTTACCTTGCAGTGGATGTACACAAACGGGTCAGGTGTGTTAACAAACTTGAACGTTTGAAGACTAAAACGATGAAGGCCTTGTACTCCTCCATTATGGTGATACTGAACCGTGGAGTCCTGGGGACAACTGTGAAGAGAAACAATTAACGAACGGATTAGACTGCCATTTTAGAAATGGGACGAAACAATGGACCAAAATAGACCAAAATCGGGGCTCTTCCCGGCAGAAGCCCCGATTTTGGTTACTCCAGTAACCAAAGATTGCAAGCGAGGATTAGTGCTCGAGTTGGTCTCCTGGTTAAGGGCCCAAGGTCTCTGTCAGATACTTTGAGGGCCCAGGTCTGTGTCAGATGCTACAGCGCAAATGTGCATTACTCATTTCGTTAATTTGCGTTACGCCATTTATGTGACGCTGATTACTGCGATTTTAGCGTCTTCATTTAATTGCTCCAATCCCTTCATTTCTGCGGTAATGTATAAGCTAGGATTAGTTGTATATCCCTCATGCTCCAGAAGACAAAATCGAGGACTAGTTTTCACATATCGATCTCGTGGGGAGATCGATAGTGTAACATCACGGTCATATTTGGCAAATCTGGCGGCAACTGATTCTATATGAAGTGACTTCAATCGCTTTCAATCGCATGCCGCGTGCATGATGTACCTTGACATGATGATGAAATGTTAATCGCCCTTTAGCCAATGGGAAATTTATGTTTCTCGAGGAACACTTGAAGCACAAGCGCGCGCGGCCTTGCCGCGTGCCCGAAATCGAGCGCCTCTTCACCAGACTCCTTCTCGCCGGATCGCGTTGCTCTTCGCCACTCGCGCGCGTGACTCAAAGGTGAGCCTGCTCGCAGGTTACTAGAAGAAAAGAGAATTCAGTTTCTCAAAAGAATTCCACAAATCCTCTATTTTTGTCTTTCTCCAGGGCCACCCCTTTGAGTTCGGGCTTTTTCAAATCCTCTGCGGTTAATAATTTTGCTTGCGATGTAGACGAACTCAGATAAAATAGAGGGTGTGTGGACAGACTACCAGAAACGGACTAGATCACGGTGTTGACTGCAAAAGCTGGGGAGGAGAAAAGTCTGGGTGTTGCGTGACATACTCACCCGTTTAGAATCAGATCGTATTGTAGGGTACTGTTCGGATTAGGATCAGGGGTGGCGTGACAACGTTTCGCCTGCACAGCCAAACGAGGATCTTTAGAGTCCACACTTAGTTGAAGGAAAATTCGTTCATTAACTCTAACGCCGATAGGGAAGCTTTGGTCACCATAGGGACGAGTGTAGGCGTCATCTTTAAACACACCCAGGTTAATATCGAACATTCCGATATCTGAGGCGTTGCCTCGGATTATTTTCCTATTGGTTTCCAACTGAATGGCGCTTGCTTGAACTTCCTTGAGGTAACAGCACCTGAAATTTGCAATACATAACAGCAGTTGATTTTAGATTGAATAACCCTTCCCCCAAAAAATATTCTAGCACTTCGTCACTGGTCATTGAAAATTACACATTAAACATTACCTAAATGGAATGTCAACGTCTGCCATCCTCGTAATGATGCCCTCTGTCGGCCTCTCTTGAATCGTGTTCTCGTAAATAAACGCATTGTCCGTAACCACCATCTTAGTACCGCACGATGTAAGGTTAGTCTCAAACAGGAAGTGCGTCCCGTTATCCTTGGGAAGACACCTTGGGTCGTTAAGGCGCACGTCAGTCCTGCGCATGCCCATTAGGAATGCCTTGCTCAGTACCACTTGGATGAGCATCTTTCCGCAAGATATTGCCAAATGCTCGTTGACGACTTCAAGGGGAAAAAGTGACGTTTCAAATACAACTTAAAGAAACATGCTAATGTGAGCTACAATTTATAATAACAGACGACACTTATCATAACAGCTAACCTTTCCACCCTCCAGTTGCTCCAACAGTCTCTTCCGTTTCTGAAAAAAGGAAATTTGACCATATAATTACCACAAATCTGTAGAAACAGGGCTTGAAAAATTCCATTTGGATTCATTGCGCACCTCTAAAGAGTGCCTCTATTTGTTCTATTACTCTTTGTAATGCATACCTTTGAACGGTTTCACTGTTTGTAAAGACAGGCCCTGTGGTTTCATGATTTCTGTACTGCATTCTGGCCCTAACCTTGACCTTGTTTGTTGTGGTCGAGCGTGAGACACGTCCCTCCTCGAATGTATGGACAAATGCTCATCGACTTGTTAAGACAACGCGACAAAATGCCGAGGGGTAAAAATACGATGGACTAGCATCTGACTGGAAGGGGGTTGGAGAGGGGGCAGAGAGATGGAAGTTATGTGAGTTAAGTACCGGCTTTACCTTAATCTCACTTCCCATGAAAACAAACAAACAAACGAACAAAGGGGTGTATCCGCAGTTATTACCAGTCGTAAAGAATTCTTTTACCTCGACAGTCGAAGCCATCTCCCGTATATCCGTCCATACAAGAGCAGTCGTACAAACCAACATTATTTACGCAAAACGCATTCCCGTTACAAATATCCGTTCCCAGTTCACATTCGTCGACATCTGCGAAACAGGAAAGACGCGTTCATTAATTCGTTTGGCTCAAACAAATATATCTATAAAAATGTCAAACATCTTTATTGACCTCTACGCAAAGGAAATTTTTACGGCCAATTTGAACAAAGAATGAAATAAATATCGCAGATGGACAAAGCATGTTTAGGAATCTCATCGACCAGGAAGCAGACCAGTTCCCTGGTTTTAGATGTGCGGCCGAGGACCTGGAAGACAACTCGGGTACACCACACTTAAAGCTTAGCATCCTGCGACCACTCGATCATTTTGACTCCTTTCTCTACTGTACTACGCTCGCCCTAACACAGCGAAGATGAACACCATTAAGTCTTACCTTCACAACTAAAACCGTTGCCTGCGTATCCCATTTTACATGAGCATATAAAGCCTCCATTCTTGCTGAGACAAACTGAGTTCTCGCTACACTGCGCGCATTCATCAGAACCTGTGAGCAAAACCATATCTGATTGATATGCCTCTCGGTACGTGACATTATGATAGGTATTCTGAAGGAGGGAATGGATTTGATTAACTATATAGCAATTCTAGGAAAAACATATCTGTGGACCTGTAGGTGTAAAGGAATTAATCCCATCTTCAACCATTTCAAAAGAATTTCGGAAATCAAATATGAAACAGAAAAATACATAGCTTTTAAGGCAAATAAGATCAGCCAGTTTAAAAGAAATGGGAAGTGTTTGAGGTACTTAATTTAAATTTAATTAAAAGTAAATAATTATCAATAACTTTATAAGCAGTATTTCTTTCTTTTTTATTCATATATTTTCAACTTAGTTATTACGTTGTATGTTGCAAAAAAAATTAATGTCCTGTATATAGAGAAATAATGCAAAAAGATTGTTTATCATAAAAAAGAAAAAAAAAAGCCTTTTGCTTTTAACATTGTTATAAATTCAGACCTAAGAAAATTGTAAGTAAGTAATGACATGTAATATAAGTTTGAGTCATGTAAGTGTTGCTATGATTAAATAATAATAAAAAAATATCTAATTGACACAGGCTGTATTCATGGACACATGTACAGCGACTAAGCAAATTCTTTGCAGTGTGTAGTTAAATTAAGCTACCTTTAAAAGATTATTTAACGTTATATAAAACCTCTAGTCACGGTTATATGATGCGAAAGTTGCTCTGGGATCCCTGCACATACCCAACATAAGGCAATGCTAATATCACCAACACAGACATTGAGCATGGAAACGATAAAACCGAACGCAATTATTGTTTTACTGTAAATTAAAGCAAAGCTAGTGGATTGGTCTTACTCGTTGAAATGGATCACTTCAATCGTGAAGGTACATTATGTTCGAAGCTATCTAAGCAAGTGGTCGACACTTGTGAATTAGTACACTGGCAGCCAATAGGAATAGACGAAGTGAGTGCGGTGTAAAGGTGACAATGCCAAACAACAAGAATAATAGTAACAACGACGACAACGACTGCAGCATCAGATAACTAAGAATGGCGGCACCAAGAACCACAACACTAAACAGCAACAACGAGTACTTACCTTTCACGCCATCGTTCATGATCTTCTGAGCAATAGCAGCTCCATCCTCGTCACCGTCAATTTGAATAACAACTCCTTTACTTGGAGCGAGTCTTGTAAGCTCATCCAAGTCAGCGAGTGAGCCAAATGCTATTGGCAGAACAAGGATATTCTTGTCTTGCAGGCTTTTTGCACTGGCCGACAGCACTTGAGGATAATTCACTGATTTCTGGTCAATCAAAACTACCAAGATTTTGTTCGCATCAGGCCGCGGGGGAGCATCTTCGAAGAGCTTCATGGCTTGATCAAGAGCTTTCTTCAAGTCTGGGGATCCTTCAGGTCTTTGCACAGCGTTAACAGCGTTCTTAAAGTCTTGTGCGGTTTTAAAACCATCAGTGAAGTCGATTTTAGTGCTGGCTTCTCTTCCACATGTTATTAAAGAGTAACGCGTATGTTTGGTTCCGTATTGGTCAATGATGACTTTAGTAGCATCCTTCATTGTGTTCAACGTTGGATTAGATAAGGCACCCATGATAACAGCAAGATCGATCTTTGGAGTAACTGCTATTTCTACATAAAATAGAATGGAATCAATGATTAAAGACGTTATGTTTGAGTGGACCATCTACAGATTTGTGCCGCAGACACATCTGCATTTCTTGCACTAGGAGCCCAAAATCAATAGTTCACTGTTGGCTTATGAACGTTTTCCTGCCTTTATAATGGAACCAGTTCGCACGTAAAATTTACCTTCCAGTTGTTTTTTGTTTTTTGTAATTGCACGCCCGAAATTGTTAATTTGCTTTTGATACTAAAAAGGGCAATAAAACTGTACTTTCGAAGGTAATCAAAAAACCGATTCTCCATTTTCTAGCTCCTGATTAAACATGGTAAAGTAATGCCAACCTAAAGAATTGGTGAAGTACCTTGACATGTTTTTCCGTCTCCGGTGAACCCTTGTTTACACAAGCAACTGAACGAGCCGTCACTGTTCGTGCATTCAGCCTTTTCATCACACGGAGCGGACTCTGCAGAGCACTCGTCGATATCTGGAATATATGTAAAAAATATTCACAACACTCTATGTCTCTATGTCTTTCATGCAGTGGAGGGTCATCCCGACCTTACATCCATCTATACACCTCACTCTTGTCGAAATCTCCACATGAAGAAAAATAGTTGACTTCAGTGGAGCCCTCTCTAACCTCTCTGCTATAGTTTTCTTGTAGTAACGTGACAAGAGTGGGCCTCACGGCTTTACACTTCCTATTTTATTCCTTTTCCGCCACAAACTTTTGTAATGTTAAGTATAAAAGTATACCTTGACAAGTTTTTCCATCTCCTGTGAATCCTGTTCTACACGTACAGCTGTAGGAGCCCTTAGAATTAGAACAGTCAGCGTTTTCGTCACATGGACTGGGATCCGCAGAACACTCGTCAATATCTAGAGAGATAAAAATAAAGTAAATTAACACATTTAATTTGTCACATTGAGTATCGTTGTGCCCGCGTAGTGAAAAGCGAAAAGCGTCATCCAGTTGCCGCTGCATTGAAGCTGGCGAGGTAATGGCCTTCACGTCAAAGTAATTCCGTTTAGGTTTAATGAGTCGCGACGTATGGTGGACGCACCATGTCGATGTAATGATGAGAACGAGAAAATATGATGTTCCCTTGTAAAATCTAGGCCCTAGTTGTTCAAAAGATGGATAGCGCCATCCATTGGATAAGTCACTTTTTAAAAGCTGGTACCGTTATTAACACTTTGAGCAGCTGGGTCCACGGTGCTTAAAGTAAGTTGGCTGTGCTGGATAGTTGCTGAAAAGATTCTGCATCGTAGTTAAGGATGAAATATGATCGAACCTATACTAACGGCCACCTCCCCACAACGGCTACATATTCTCGTCCCAGTCTAGAGATTTGCTCTACCTCTCCACAATGGCTAGTGCTCTGTCTCTAGAATAGCCGTTGTAGAGAGGTTTGCCTGTACTTGCATCATGAAAAAAAGATATTCTATTCATGAAAACCCTGTGTATTGTTTAGGTTGACTGTGCTCAATGAAGAAGCGGTGGATCCATATCCTTGTCACATATAGACACACTGCGCATTTTCATATGAATAATGATTGGATCCTGATCGTCGAAGAACGGTGGAGGAAGTCCTCAGCGATACGTGAAGCGATAGAAAAGAAATGGTAGCGTCTATTTTTATGTGAAATTGTAAAGGCGAAGTGGATAGTTTTTTAATTTCGCACACCTTCACAAATTGCACCATTTCCGGTAAATCCTGTTTTGCAAGTGCAGCTATAAGACCCTTCACTATTGCCGCAGTCAGAGTTTTCGTCACAAGGACTGGGTTCCAACGAACACTCGTCGAAATCTGTAAAATCAGTCAGTACATGAATGTTCAAGTTCAACAAGGATGTTTTCCAGTTTCAAACTGATAGTGTTCAAGAATGTTTTCGCATGTAAGTACCTTTACAAGATATTCCATCTCCATCGAATCCTTGTTTACAAGTACAGCTATAAGAACCGTCAGTGTTTGTGCAGTCCGCGTTCTCGTCACATGGACTGGAATCCGCAGAACACTCATCGATATCTGATGTGATAAGCAAAATCCAGTATGTTGTTTTCGACCAAACTGCGATATTCTAACGCTTGCAAGCCATTAAGTACGTTTGTCTAGTACCATTGTGCCCAATTTTAGCAAATTGACGGGCGGATAGAAACATGCGATTCCTACAAACGGTTCTTCTTGTGTCTCCTTTCAACGAACACCTTACGAAAATACAATAGCAACACTCCCACTCCCAAAATTACATGTACGTTAGCGCCAAGAGAAACTGCTTTGCGAATTGTGAAGTATCAACTACCTTGGCAAGTTGTTCCGTCGCCACTGAACCCTAGTTTGCACCTACAGCTGTAGGACCCTTCGGTATTAGAACAGTCGGCGTTTTCATCACACGGTTTGGAATCTGCAGAACACTCGTCAACATCTGACAAGAAATAAATCAACCAAATGTTGTTCTGTGTTTCCCAAAAATGTGCCTTTCGATTAAGTGAGAACAGTGAACGTACCCTATGAATGCTCCGATGAAAGAGTATAGAAAATGATGGCATTGGGTCGGTTTGTAACGTTCTGCTTCTTAGCATCAACAAAGCGTATAAAGATATTCGAAGGACTTCAAAGACACTTCAGAACTCGTGTGGCACGAAAGAAAGTTGCCTGAGCACGTTGTCGACGTGGTGGATAGACGTTTGATTCACTAAGAACTGTCGACGAATATTTTAGACAAAAAGAGACAATAGAAATAAAAGTGACATTAAGTTTAACGTAGAACGCGACACAATATGGATACGCTGTGCGTGATGAAGAATTGAAGTGGTGGATAGTGTTTCACGTTCGCACACCTTCACAAATTGAACCATTCCCAGTAAATCCTTGTTTACATGTACAGCTGTAAGAACCGTCAGTGTTGGTGCAATCAGCATTTTCGTCACAAGGACTGGGTTCTAATGAACACTCATCGAAATCTGGCATGATGAAAAGACGCAACAATGTAAACATATAATCAGAATTTTCATCACAAGGAATGGAGATTTCCAGTTTCAAACTAATAGAGTTCAAGAACATTGTCGCATGTAGTACCTTTACAAGATAGTCCGTCTCCATCGAATCCTTGTTTACAAGTACAGCTATAAGAACCGTCAGTGTTGGTACAATCAGCGTTCTCGTCGCACGGACTGGAATCCGCAGAACACTCATCGATATCTGATGTGATAAGCAAAATCGCGTACGGATTGTTTTCGACCAAACTGCGGTAACGTTTGCGAGCCATTAAGTACGTTTGTTTAGTACCATTGTGCCCAATTTTGAGCAAATCGTTAAGAGCAACCATCAACAACACTAACAACAGCAACAGCAACAACAAGAACGACAACAACCACAACCATGTCCGAAGACCCATTTCACGCGCAGTACAGCGGAAGACTTATGGCAACTGCTTTTGTGATCGCGTGAGTCGTAGCCTTCTCAGATCTTCTCGGCCGGTGAAATGAAGCTTTGGACACAGACAACAACTAACTTGACGGGCGGATAGAAACATGCAATTGCTACAAACGGTCGTTCTTGTGTCTTCTTTGAAGGAACACCTTACGAAAATACAATAGGAATACTCCCACTCCCAAAATTACATGTACGTTAGCGCCAAGAGAAACTGCTTTGCGAATTGTGAAGTATTAACTACCTTGGCAACTTGTTCCATCTCCGCTGAACCCTAATTTGCACCTACAGCTGTAGGATCCTTCGGTATTAGAACAGTCGGCGTTTTCATCACACGGTTTGGAATCTGCAGAACACTCGTCAACATCTGACAAGAAATAAATCAACCAAATGTTGTTCTGTGTTTCCCAAAAATGTGCCTTTCGATTCAGTGAGAACAGTGGACGTACCCTATCGATGCCCCGATGAAAGAGTAAAGAAAGTGATGACATTGGGTCGCTTTGTAACGTTCTGCGTCTTAGCATCAACAAAGCGTATAAAGGCATTCGAAGGACTTCATAGACATTTCAGAATTCGTGTGGCACGAAAGAAAGCTGACTGAGCATATTGTCGGCGTGGTGGATAGACGTTTGATTCATTAAGAACGGTCGACGAATGTTTTAGACAAAAGAGACGATACAAATGAAAATGACGTTTAGTTTCATGTGGAACGCGACATAATCTGGATACGCTGTGCGTGATGAAGAAGCTGTAAATAGTTTTTCACGTTCGCACACCTTCACAAATTGAACCATTTCCAGTAAATCCTTGTTTACAAGTACAGCTGTAAGAACCGTCAGTATTGGTGCAATCAGCATTTTCGTCACAAGGACTGGATTCTAATGAACACTCATCGAAATCTGACATGAAGAAAAGACGCAACAATTTATACATACAATCAAAGTTTCCATCACAAGGATTGAGTTCAAGGAGGGAGATTTCCAGTTTCAAACTGATAGTGTTCGAGAACATTGTCGCATGTAAGTACCTTTACAAGATATTCCATCTCCATCGAATCCTTGTTTACAAGTACAGCTATAAGAACCGTCAGTGTTCGTACAATCAGCGTTCTCGTCACACGGACTGGAATCCGCAGAACACTCATCTATATCTGATGTGATAAGCAAAATCGAGTATGGATTGTTTTCAACCAAACTGCGGTATTTTAAAGTTTGCAAGCCACTAAGTACGTTTGTTTAGAACGACCACAACCATGTCTGAAGATCCATTTCACGTGCAGTACAGGGGAAGACTTATGGCAACTCCTTTTGTGATCGCGCGAGTCGTAGCCTTCCCAGACCTTCTTGGCCAGTGAACTAAACTTTTGAACAAAGAAAACTACTACATTGACGAGCTAATAAAAACCTGCGATGCCTACAAACGATCCTTCTTGCGTCAGCTTTGTCAGAATTGCTTACCAAAATACAGAAGAAGCATTCCCACAATTACCTTTACGTATAATATTAACTACCTTTGCAAGTTGTTCCATCTCCAGTAAACCCTAATTTGCACCTACAGCTGTAGGAACCCTCGGTATTAGAACAGTCGGCGTTATCGTCACACGGGTTGGAATCTGCAGAACACTCGTCAACATCTGAAAAGAAATACATCAACCAAATTTTGTTCTGTGTTTCCAAAGAGTGTGCCTTTCCGTTCAGTGAGATGGGTTGAGTTGATTCAGCACATTGTCGGCGTGGTGGACAGACATTTGATTCATTAAGATCGGTCGACGAATATTTTATATAAAAGAGACGCTAGAAATTAAAATTGGTGCTGAATTTCATGTAGAACGCGACATAATTTGGATATGCTGCGCGTGATGAAGACGCATTTTCACATTCGCACACCTTCACAGATTGCACCATTTCCAGTAAATCCCTGTTTACAGGTACAGCTGTAAGAACCGTCACTGTTGGTGCAATCAGCATTTTCGTCGCAAGGACTAGGTTCTAAAGAACACTCATCGAAATCTGATGTAAGAAAGGAAAATCATTTACTACCTTTCAAGTACAACACAAACCTCTTTTAATTCTGGTTTAAGCGCAAGCATATTTTTTTCAACAGCAGTCCTACATGCCTATACCTTCGCAAGTTGTACCATCTCCATCAAACCCTTGTTTGCAAGTGCAGCTATAAGAACCGTCACTGTTGGTGCAGTCCGCGTTCTCGTCACATGGACTGGAATCTGCGGAGCACTCATCGATATCTGACGGAATAAAAAGATGTTATTGTGACTTAGTGCACTATAGGTTGTAAGTCCCACGCACCAGGTCAAGTGAGAAGCCCTAAATCATAATGTAGGGCGCTCCAAGGTACAAGCAATACAATGTAGATTTTGCCAAAATAGTAACGCTAATCTGCAATGGACTCAATAGAGTGGATTTGCTACATATTCGGCGCGCTTACCTTCACAAGTTGTGCCATCTCCAGTAAATCCTTGTTTACAAGTACAGCTGTAAGAACCGTCACTGTTGGTACAATCAGCGTTCTCGTCACATGGGTTGGAATCAGCAGAACACTCGTCTATATCTGTTGTTGAGGAAAAAAGGAGCCATCCTTGAAAATCTAAATTTTAATTTGCACAGTACAGTTCCTTTTCTCAAAGGCTTCAATGCACTTTTCAGGTGTAAGAGACGTATAAACTGTTTGTCATAATCAAGAACGAGAAAGATGTGATGTTTATTACGTCGCAACTATGGAACAACAGAAATCCAAGTCCCAGAAAGAACGTTCGTGGAGCGAAGGTAAAGGTAACTGGACAACAGATTGATCCAGTGTGATGGAAATGAATGAACAACGAAAAACAAAACAACAAAACAAACAACAAAACAAAACTGAGCAGCCTTCACTTGACTTTGATGAAGGCGCAGTGGATTACTTTTCACGCTTATACCCCTACACCTTCACAAACAGCGCGGCCATTTCCAGCAAATCCTTGTTTACAAATACAACTGAAAAAAGTCCGCTGTTGGTTCAATTAGGATTCTTGTTGTACGGACTGGGCTCTACAGAACACTCATCAAAATCTAACGCGATGGCAATGGAAATCATTGACTAAAGTTCAAGTGCAAACACTTTTTCAACACTCAAGAGAGATTATCTGTTAAAAAAATTCCATTAATATTTCCTGGTGTATGTACCTTTACAGGTTAGGCCATCCCCATCAAATCCTTTTTTACAATTACAGCTGTAAGAACCGTCAGTGTTGGTGCAATTCGCGTTCTCATCGCAAGGACTGGAAACCGCAGAACATTCATCGATGTCTGATTTGACGAAGAGCAGAAATTGTTGTTAACAATACGCATATTTTTGAATTAAAGTAGCCCACCTTTTTGATAGGCTATGGCGACATATCAGCCTAGTCTGGTCGAGTCGGTTTGTATTTTGGAAAGGCGTAGGTTAGCCAAAATACACATGGCGAGAGCAAATGAACCTGAAATGCCGCCGAAGTGTACCAAAAGGCACGATTAGGTATTTTCTGTACCCAAACCCGTACAAGTAATAGTGACTTTATATCGGAGGATATCAGGACACGGCTCCTGATTCGCGTATTGCGAATTTGGGTACGCTAATTGACTATCGATAGGCTCTATCGATAGCGCAGAGTGGAATACGGTAAGTGATCCAATGAAACGCGCCCAATAACGTACCTTAAAACGGAAACGCTTAAAAACACTTCCTTTTATAGCGAGTTAAAGACGTTAAATTGTAAAGTGCAAAGAGATAACAGAGTGACAAAGGGATACTTGACGGATGTTTTTAGTTTAAAAACAACAAAAGGAACGGAATACAACCGACAGAAGTCATGATAACCATCTCTGGAAATTCATAAGTACCTTCACAAACTGCACCATCTCCAGTAAATCCTTGTTTACAAGTACAGCTGTAAGAACCGTCACTGTTGGTACAGTCAGCGTTCTCGTCACAAGAACTCGGATCCACCGAACATTCGTCGATGTCTGCAGTGAAAAAGGAAAATTTAAAAATAGTTCTCACATGTCAGAACTTAATATAGCATCAACGACGGAAGTTTTTCTCGAAGACTCTTTAGACCTTTACAAATTGTTCCGTCTCCAGTAAATCCCTGTTTACAAGTACAGCTATAAGAACGGTCAGTGTCAGTGTTGGTACAATCAGCGTTCACGTCACAAGGACTAGTATCGGCAGAACACTCATCGATATCTGGTATGATGAAAAAGACCCAATGATTTATGCATGTTAGACAGAGAAGTCTTTGATTAAAACATTTCCCCTCTTTTCTAATGTTGCGACACGTTGTTTTGCCACTACTCAGTATTGGAAATTTGGCAAAACTTTAAGACTCTAAGATTACTATTTTGGTAATAAATGCGAGCGATTTTAGGGTGCGTTTCCTTGGGAAAAGGTAAGATTGGATTCTTAAATCCAAAAATGGGTTTTGCGTTTCTTTACTATACAAATTAACCTAAGATCACTTGGATCACAGTGCATGAAAGAAACCGAAGAATCCTTTCCCAGAGTGGATTTTTTGTTTCCTTTGATGTACTATGATCCAAGTGATCTTGGATTAATTTTGATTGATCTGTTTATTAAAGAAGTGCAGAATCCGCTTTTCGATGTCAGAAACGCACCCTTAGTTTTCAGCAACTCGTTATTTAAATTGGTAAGTGCAGTAATTTCCACCGGCTAAAATTAAGTTACTGCATCACTGAATGTTTTACTTCTTTTCTCTCACAATTGAGTAGTTTTTTTTCTTCAACACTGAAACCTGGTCTTTTAATCAAGTCGATATTAAGTTGCCCCTAACTTAGACACTTTGCCAGGAATATCCTGTCGCTTAGGTGCTCTTTTTCGTTCTGTATTACAACCTATTGTTGTCATCAGGAGAAATACGAGGGTTATTACCATTGGAGAAACATAGAATACCTTCACAAGTCGTTCCATCTCCAGTGAAACCTTGATTACAAGTACAACTGTAAGACCCGTCGTTGTTGGTACAAGCAGCGTTTTCGGCGCATGCACTCGATTCCTCAGAACACTCGTCTATATCTGGTGTAATACGTAATAGAAATAATCAGTCTGTTTATTGGACTGAGCCTCCAATCTTTTTTGTAAGTACAACTTCACCTTACTTAATCTGGAGTGGGAAAGCATGCATGGGTAATACCTACCGGAACATGACTTACTATCTTGAATCCATCTTCAGTTAATCGAAGCAAGTCTGTGCTATAACCTACCTGTGCAGATTACACCATCTCCAGTAAATCCTTGTTTACAAGTACAGCTATAAGAACCGTCACTGTTGGTACAATCAGCGTTTTCATCGCATGGACTGGTATCCGCAGAACACTCATCGATATCTGATATGACGGAAAGGAAGTATATTAATGTCGCGAAAACTCCAGAACAGTTCAAAACATTTTAATTCCTGAAGGTGATATTGGAACCCTTTCCTCTTAAGTGCATTGGCTATTAGAGAATGGTCAACACGATGATATGGCTTTAAGATGACGTATTGATCAAATTAGGATATTTTATATGTTGATCATTATTTGGAGTACAGTCTTTTAAAAGTACCTTCACAAACTGTACCATCTCCAGTAAATCCTTGTTTACAAGTACAGCTGTAAGAACCGTCGCTGTTGGTGCATAGGGCGTTTTCATCACATGGACTGGGATCCGAAGAACACTCATCTAATTCTGATGTGATCGAAATGGAATTATTAGCTATTTTATGGATTTGCGGCGACCTAGTAAATGATTTGATTCACGTGCATTATGTATACAGATAGGGTTAGGGTAAAAAAAAATGTATACAGATAGGGCCTTAGTTAATGATTAAATTCTGTAAATAGCTAAAATAGTGTTTGTCTAACAATAACATCGTGTATACCTTCACAAAGCGTTCCATTTCCAGTAAATCCCTGTTTACAAGTGCAGCTGTAAGAACCTTCATTGTTCGTGCAATCTGCATTTTCATCACACGGACTTGAATCCGCAGAACACTCATCGATATCTGAATCGAGATAAAGAAGAAACGATCACGAACCGCTCCAAAAACAATATAAGCGACAGGCTGTAAAAGTGAGGATGTGGAATTTTGATTGGAAGAGTTCGTCTAGAGCAGGTAAAGGGTAATCCTGTTCCAACTAGTCTGCCACGAGAATGAAAGAACAGGACATTCAAATGTATGATGACGTGTGATGAAAGAAAGCGGCTGGTTTGTGACACGTGTTGGAAAAAAGTGGATTGTTTTGAGGGCGCAGTGGATTGCTTTTTTGACCACATTCTCCCCAACCTTCACAGACTGCGCCGCCATCTCCAGTAAATCCTTGTTTGCATGTACAGCTGTAAGAACCGTCAGTGTTGGTACAAACTGCGTTGTCGTCACACGGACTGGGTTCTAAAGAGCACTCGTCGAAATCTGATGTAATGGAAGTGGAAATTGTGTATTAAGCTTAATTTCCAGCAGAGGAAGGATTTTGTCAAGACTTAGGACGAATGCTTTTAAATGAAATTAATTAATGCTTTTACCTTCACAAGATACGCCATCGCCATCAAATCCTTGTTTACACGTACAGCTGTAAGAACCTTCATTGTTTGTGCAATCAGCGTTTTCATCGCAAGGGTTGGAATCCGCAGAACATTCGTCGATATCTGAACGAAAAAGAAACGACAATGAATAATTATTTCATAGCTTTCTGATCACCTCTCGTGGCCAGTTCTATCAATGGTGCTGGTTGTATCGTTGTGAATCACACGGTCCCATTTCCAGTGATATCAATCGTTTCATGCAAAACATATCGGAGTTACGCGTCCAAATCTTACGCCAGTTGGTCCGTGTGAAGATTGACTTGAAATGTAACTTATAGATCGTCCTCTAACGCGACCAGTTATTTATTTGCTTCGTCTGTAAAGGAACAGCTAGTAGAAATAGGAAAGAAGTTTGCATACCACTACAGGATATGCCATCTCCAGCGAATCCTCCTTTACATGTACAGCTGTAAGATCCATCACTGTTGGCGCAATCAGCGTTCTCGTCACAAGGACTGGGATTGGCAGAACACTCGTCGATATCTTAGAGGTGGCATGATAAAGGAACGCATTATAATAATAAAGTGGTTTCTGAAGATGTCTTTAATTCAAGCTTAGTTTGGCTTTGGTTGATTACAATTTCCCAAGAAAGGATGGGTCAGTAAAAGAGTTCCCTTAAAACCCGTTTCATTATGTGATTTACAGAGAACAGCCAGATACAAGGTAATGCACAGCGAGGACTTTCGATAGCCACGTTGCGATGGACATTGCTGTACATAAAAAGCAAAAGTCCATCAATAAAGACAAGCACAAGAAAGGTAAGGACGAAAAATTCGCCACCTCATTCTAAAAAATAAGCAACAGTCAAATCTTTTAGAAACACCTTGTGCCGGAAAGTTTTGCTGGAATAACGTCTTCTGCCGCATTTTAACCCTTAGACAATTTTACTGTACTGTAATTCGTAGTGTATAGGCATAATACAGAATTTCATAGTTTTATCATGTAAATATCTATTCTAATGTTATAGCCATGGTAAGTGAAATTGTGCCATAAGCGTCAGATTTTCGTAAAATCATTATTGCATACCTTTGCAAATGGACCCGTTTCCAGAAAATCCTGGTCTGCAAGTGCAGCTATAAGAACCATCTGTGTTGCTGCAAGTAGCGTTTTCATCGCAAGGGCTGGGCTCCAAAGAACACTCATCGAAGTCTGGCGGAGCACAAAGGAAGGTAATTAAGATTTGATTCGATTTGGATTTTACGCACAACAAATAACGTAACACTACACGAAGGATTAGGTTATGATAAAGGCAAACCAGTTTTACCTTCACAAACTTCCCCATCTCCATCAAATCCTTGCTTACAGTTACAGCTGTAAGAACCATCAGTGTTGGTACAATCAGCGTTTTCGTCACAAGGACTGGCATCCGCTGAACACTCATCAATATCTAATGTGACGGAAAAAGAAAGCATCACTTACTAAGCGATATAAACGCACCTAGCGGTTCAGTGCCTACAGGGGCTTGTTTAAAATTCTGTCGTACCTTTACAAACGATACCGTCTCCAGTGAATCCTTGTTTACAAGTACAGCTGTACGAACCGTCACTGTTGGCGCAATCAGCGTTTTCATCACATCGGCTGGTGCCCAAAGAGCACTCGTCGATATCTAAGGGTGATACAAGAGACGTTGCTAGGCTTCCTGTCGAGTTGTTTTAGATAAAACTATTCCTCGGTTGCCAAAAACAAACAAAAGTGAGTTTGCCAAAAGTAAAATTGTAAAGAGCATCTTTACTCATAAAACCATATTCGAATTTAAAGCGATAGAAAGGTAGCCAGGTATTTACCTTGACAAGTCGTCCCATTTCCAGTATATCCCTGTTTGCAAGCACAGCTGTAAGAACCGTCAGTGTTGGTGCATTCAGCGTTTTCGCCACATGGACTGGGTTCCAGGGAACACTCATCAAAATCTGATGCAATGGAAAGGACAATTGGTTGCTTATTATAGCTTCTTTGCCATAACTTTGTATGGTATTCAGCATACCTTTACAAGTAGTGCCATCTCCATCAAATCCTTGTTTGCAGCTACAGGTGTAAGAACCTTTCGTGTTGATACAATCAGCGTTCTCGTCACACGGACTGGAATCGGCTGAGCACTCATCGATATCTGATTTCAATAAAAACGAAGTGACACTGAATAAAGAGCGCGATGAAGAAGTTTTATTTATGTATTAGCTCAATGAGCGATCTACAACTAACAAGACCATGCTGTAACTATACAGCGAGAACATACCCGTGCAGATAGTACCATCTCCAGTGAAGCCCTGTTTACAAGTACAGCTGTAAGAACCGTCGCTGTTGGTACAGTCAGCGTTCTCATCACACGGACTAGAATCCCCAGAGCACTCATTGATATCTAAATGTAGCAGAATACGGAAAGGTTATTCATCGCATGTCTTTATGGAGACCATACTTTGTCCGAAATTTCTTGGCAAAAACGTATGTCCAATAGTTTCAATGATAACGTCTAGTATAATTACCTCCACAGACTGTTCCATTTCCAGTATATCCTTGTTTACAAGAGCAGCTATAAGAGCCATCAGTGTTGATACAATCAGCATTCGGATCACACGGACTGAGTTCCAAAGAACACTCATCAAAATCTGATGCCAAATAAATTAGAGAATTGGAATAAATCTCAGTTATTTTTTTTTCAAAGATAGGGGAATTATTTTCAAATATAGTCAACTTACGTACCTTTACAAATTATTCCATCCCCATCAAACCCTTCTTTACAAGCACAGCTATAAGAACCGTCATTGTTGGTACAATCAGCGTTGTTATCACAAGGATTGGAATCCACAGAGCACTCGTCAATGTCTAAATGTGGTAGAAAAAAAATCCATTATTTGTTACACAACTTAGAGTACACTTCGTCTTATTTTTAACGATCTCCGCGGCCCATACCTTCGCAAACAGTGCCATTTCCAGTAAATCCTTGTTTACAAGTGCACGTGAAAGAACCTTCGTTGTTAGTGCAATCAGCGTTCTCGTCACAAGGACTGGGATTGGCGGAGCACTCATCGATATCGGATTTCAAAGACAATATAATCGATAAATTAAAATCTAAGAACAATTGATCTCAGCTGTTGGTGTGTTTGTTTTAACTTTGACACAAAATAGGATAATCTAGCATAGAAAAGCAATCAACGTGATGCCCAGTTTATTTATTTAGTTAATCGCTTCGCTCATAAGAATGATCATGGCAAGGAACAAGCTCCAGAGATATTTGAGGGTCTGGATGGGAAGCAGTAATACAGACGCCTAATGGCCCACTAAGAATAATAATAAATTTAAGTGAAGTACAGTTCCACTGCAATCTTAGTACTGTTTTTGGCTAAGGTGTAAAGGTGTTTTAACAAACCATCACAAAGCGACCCATCTCCGGTGAATCCTTGTTTACAAGTACAGCTGTAAGAACCATCGCTGTTGATGCAATCAGCATTTTCATCACACGGGCTGGAATCGGCGGAACATTCGTCTATATCTGATGTCAAAGGAACAAAATAAAATGTTAAGTTTGTAGTAACGGTTACTATTTTGCAATTGTTTTTAAAACAAACTCTTAAGAGATGTTGCGAGGATTAGCATAAGTAGCTGTGTACGTTTCTGGTGTGCGGTCACTAAACTAAGATGAAACACTAAAGCCCCCCCTCCCCTCGCCCAGGCAGTGAGGATGGTGCAACTCGAGAGGAGGATTCTCTCTCATACCTTCGCAAAGTGAACCATTCCCAGTAAATCCTTGTTTACAAGAACAGCTATAGGAACCGTCAGTGTTGGTACAATCAGCGTTCTCGTCACAAGGACTCGGATCCGTGGAACACTCATCTACATCTGTTATAGTGAAATGATAAATAGTTAGGTTATCTTAATTTCAACGTAAAGTTTTCTTTGTAAAGCATGCATAGTAAAATGGGTTGTTGCAACATTCTGGGAAACCTTGACAAGTTGCTCCATCTCCAGTGAATCCTTGTTTACAAGTGCAGGTGTAAGAACCGTCATTGTTAGTACAATCAGCGTTCTTGTCACACGGACTGGATTCAGCTGAGCACTCGTCTACATCTGTTGTAATAGAAAAGATAAGTCATTGGGTAATCTCAACAAACGGTTTTGGCTTGAGGATTGAAAATAATTCGCATTGGCTTTGGTTTTACATACTTCGGTAAGAGATTGTTTTTAAAAGCTCGCACCACTTTTTCATCCAATCAGAAGTAAAACCGAAACCAATCGTGACTCGCTCGCACACGTACGTTTCCCTGCACTTCCCGTCAGTTACATCTGTTTACTTTGAGTTTTGATTGGTTCACTTTATTGTTTGTGTGCAATGGGATTGGCTTAAGTAATTTCTTTGATTTTTGTTTTATGACAATGAATTGAAAACGCTTTAATTACAAAGGGGAAACCTTCACAGCTTGTCCCATTTCCAGTGAATCCTTGCTTGCAAGTGCAGTTGTAGGAACCGTCACTGTTGGTACAATCTGCGTTCTCATCACACGGATTGGACTCTGCAGAACACTCGTCTATGTCTGAAGCAATAGAAAACAAATAATTACTCTTCTTCATTTTCGAGAAGCTGAATTATAACTTGAATTTTGTTAACGTTACCTTCACAAGTTGTTCCATCTCCAGTGAATCCTTGTTTACATGCACAGCTGTAAGAGCCGTCGCTGTTAGTGCAATCGGCGTTCTCGTCACACGGATTGGTCTCTGCAGAGCACTCGTCAATATCTGTATGCGATATGAAGGTAAATGATACGTTAGGCAGTTCGAACAAGCATTGTGTGTCCTGTTTATTTGTACAGTATTGCGATCTTTTAGGAACATCTTTGGACGGCGTTTCAGTGTTCTTGCTTCGGTTGCATCAGTTTAACCAAGGAATATGTTGTCTGTGAGGATCTCTTTGTTTGAAATTAAAATACGAAATGAAATTTTGATACTAATGAAATCACAAACAAAAAACATATAGACAGTCAGAGAGACAGACACAGTCTGGCAAACAAACAAACAAACAAACAGGAAACAGAACTTGCGAACACCTCCTGACTTTATTTGTTCCTGTGTTGACATTAAATGTCTGTTATATTCTTACATACCTTGACAAATTATTCCATCTCCAGTGAAACCTCGTTTACAAGTACAGTTTGCGGAACCGTCAGTATTGATACAAACCGCATTTTCATCACAAGGGTTGGAATCTGGAGCACACTCATTGATGTCTGAGAAAATAAAAGAAAAGTGGAATGTATGATTACATAAGCAACTTATGCAAGATATTCTAAGAGATCTTGGTAGGAAAATTGCCTACCATTGCAAGATGTTCCATTTCCAGTAAATCCTTGCTTACAAGAACAGCTATAAGAACCATCACTGTTGGTACAATCCGCGTTTTCATCACACGGACTCGTATCAACAGAACACTCGTCAATATCTGATGAAACAGAAAAAGGGAACAGTCAACTGGGCAATATATGAAAGAGATTCTTTAAAGCTGCAGCGTAGCCGAGTGGTTAGGGCGCCGGGCACGAAAACCGGAAGACGCGGGCTCAAGTACCGCTTTGACCACTAGCTGGAGTTGTATCAGCGTACTCCCGAGGTCACCTCTCGGCCACACTTGAAAATAGCCAACTGGAGTCTCTCCTTCCAGTTAGAGCAATTAACCATGTTTTGTTTAATTTGGATCGTTTGTTTAATTGCGCTGCCTCATTAGCCTTTGTGCTATAAACACTGACCAAAGATAAATGAAGGCTATTTATCTATATTTTACACACAAAACATTAAGATCTGAAAAAATGGTCTCGGATACCGCTACAAATTGCACCATTTCCAGTGAATCTATATTTTGCAAGTACAGCCATAAGAACCGTTACTCTTGGCAATATGACAGCTTGACTATTACAAAACCTGTCGTCCAGTATGTACATACATGCATACTTTATTTGATCAGTAAGTCGAACTATGGCAACTGAGAGAGATGTAATGATATTCTACACTTATACCTTCACAAACTGAACCATCTCCAGTGAATCCCAATTTACAAGTACAGACGTAAGAACCGTCATTGTTGGCACAATCAGCGTTTTCATCACATGGGTTGGAATCCGCAGAACACTCATCGATGTCTGAAATAACAAGAAAGGAAACTTAATCATAGAACCGTGCCGTAAACTGTTTATATATGATTCCGTCGATTTGCTGAGGAAGGATAGACTTGACACAAATAATGTTCTACCGTACCTTGGCATACTGCACCATCTCCGGTGAATCCCTGTCTACAAGTACAGCTATAGGATCCTTTACTGTTGGTGCAATCAGCGTTTTCATCACAAATAGTGGGATCAATGGAGCACTCGTCGATATCTGGTGTAATAGAAAGGGAAGAAGACAACCGACTTTATTTTAATAACGTACACTCTTATGAAATATAACGTATTAGAATTCTTGCATACCTTCACAAAATGTGCCATTTCCAGCGAATCCCTGTTTACATGTACAGCTATAAGAACCATCGCTGTTGGCGCAATCAGCCTTTTCATCACAAGGACTGGGATCAACAGAGCACTCATCGATATCTAACAGGTAAGGATTGGAAAGGAATACTTCATATTTTCAGGAAACACGAGTTTATGACAAGGCTTCTTGATTGTAAATCACGCATACCTTGACAAACAGTGCCATCGCCAGTAAATCCTGGCTTACAGGTGCAGCTGTAAGAACCGTCACTGTTGGTACAGTCAGCGTTCTCATCACAAGTACTGGGATCAGTTGAACACTCGTCAATATCTGATACCAAGAAAATAGAATAAAGCTTGTGTCGTTTTAAATCTATCTCGCTTCCAGCGTCATTGTAAGTTTGCGGAAGTCAAATTACGATTGTAGTATAAGGTATAATGTTCTTTCCTACCTTGACAAGCCGTTCCATTTCCAGCAAATCCTTGTTTACACGTGCAGCTGTAAGAACCGTCACTGTTGGTGCAATCAGCGTTCTGGTAACACGGACTGAGTTCTTTAGAACACTCATCTATGTCTGATATTTAAAAAGAGTCTGTTAATAGATCTCAGCTTGTTCATGAAAATATATTTTGCTACAAAGGAAACCCAATACTATCATCTGCGTTTGTTTTACATTTTTTTTTGTCGACAATAAGAATTCATGCTGGTAAATGTAGAAGTGTTGATCCACATGTTTATGAGAAAAAAATATCATTAATTAACATCGCCTTGCACTCTGTGTCTGTAGTTTAAAAGAACACAGTATAGGATGGGTGTTGTAATTTTACAGGTGCACTTGAGAATCAATTGATATTGCGAGGTTGGTCATTTTTTTGTGTTTAAAGGCAAAATAACGACATTCGCCTCTACCTTGACAAGATGCTTCATCTCCGGTGAATCCTTGTTTACAAGTGCAACTAAAAGAACCGTCACTGTTGGTACAGTCAGCATTTGCGTCACACGGACTGGGATCAGCTGAGCACTCATCTATATCTGATTCGTTAAGAATGGAAATAAGTGGTTGTAAACGCAGATTAAATGGGATTCTAACTTGATGACGACGTGAGAAGGATTGTAAAAATTGTGTTGTGTAAAAAGCATTCTAAGATACCTTTACAAGCTGTCCCATTTCCGGTAAATCCCTGTTTACAAGTGCAGCTATAAGAACCGGCGCTGTTGGTGCAATCAGCGTTCACGTCACATTGACCGGAGTCCGCAGAACACTCATCGATGTCTATTGTGATAAAAACGGAATAAATGCTTATTTACAGTGACAGAAAATGAGGAAAACTACCATTGAAACTATCGATCACGTGTTCTTTATGGCTCTTTGTTTTGGATACCTTCACAAACTGCTCCATTCCCAGTAAATCCCTGTTTGCAAGTACAGCTATAAGACCCGTCAGTGTTGGCACAATCAGCGTTCACGTCACAGGGACTCGTATCTGCAGAGCACTCATCGATATCTGAATAAAACAAAGATGTTGAAATATTATTTCTCGGAAAAAAATGTTTGACACTGGTCTTTTATATATGTTGAGACATCATGTAGATATGTTTACAGATAATCTATATTCCAAGCACTGAGTTTAAAAGTTAATGTACAACCGCTGTAAATTTAATTGAAAAAGTGACACCATCCCTCCCTCCTCCATGTTAATGATACAAATATGACGCATTCTGCTTTTCGCTCGAATTCTTCACTGATTCCTGGAAATGTGGGGGTGGTTTAATTTCTGTCTTTATTCCTACATAGACTGTAGGTAGAAATGATGCGACAGCAAAGACTGAATAGTGCATGTGATTGTAAGGAAGGCGAAAAATTTGAATTCGTGTCTAATGGAAAGGACTTCCCTTTTCGCTCACCTTGACAGGTTATTCCATCTCCAGTGAATCCTTGTTTGCAAGTGCAGCTCGAAGAACCATCGGTGTTGACGCAAACTGCATTTTGATCGCACGGGTTGGCATCTGGAGCACACTCATTGATATCTTATGAGTCGCAAAAAAGAAGCGATTGTGAGAAGGACGCAATCTAGATAAGTAATCATACCAGTTCCAAACACAGAGAGAAGTGCTTAATAAACCAAAATGGCAGGGGGATGAAATGGAGACGAGTAACGTAAGAACGACAGAGGAAATCTGCATAGTTTTAAAGATTTATCTCGCGTTGTCCTATAAAACAAACAATGGGGATTTTCTGATGTAGTATGTAAAGTCACGGCTACAGGAAGAGTTTAGAAATTGTCTTGCCCACCTTCGCAAGATGTTCCATCTCCAGTGAATCCTTGTTTGCAAGTACAGCTATAAGAACCCTCATTGTTGGCACATTTAGCGTTCTGGTCACACGGATTGGAATCCGCAGAGCACTCATCGATATCTGATTTCAGAGAAAGGAATCATTACTTAGTTGATGTCTTTCCATCAAAGAGTTCAAAAACGTGGGAGTAGTGATGGAGTGGGGAACCAAGTATGGGTAGTACCTTCACAAGCTGAACCATCTCCAGTGAATCCCTGCTTACAAGTACAGCTGTAAGAACCCTCAGCGTTGGTACAATCAGCGTTCTCGTCACAAGGACTTAATACTTCGGAACACTCATCAATATCTGACGTAGTCAAGTAGAGAAAGGAAATGTTTAATTAAAGACCCAAACCGCCCCACGCCGCAGTTACTTGCTTTGATTCGAAATCAGATTTTCCCTTGTTACCTTCACACACAGTCCCATTTCCAGTAAATCCCTGTTTGCATGTACAGCTGAAAAAACCGTCACTGTTGGCACAATCAGCGTTTTCATCACAAGGACTTGATTCTGCAGAACATTCGTCGACATCTGATGAAAACACGAGAAATAATCCGTTCGTACGTTTCAGTATAATTCCATTGGATTGTGACATAAACATATCTTTGCTAAGATGATATAAAGTGAAATATTTTGTTCAGAACTTCCTCTCATACCGTTGCAAACCGTGCCATTGCCAGCGAATCCTTGCTTACAAGTACAGCTATACGAACCGCCACTATTGGTACAGTCTGCATTTTCATCACAAGGACTAGGATTCGAGGAACACTCATCAATATCTGCAAAAACAATACACATTTCGCGGCTCTTGATAGTGTACTGAACGGGAGCACTGCAATTATTAACGATAAAGGTCAATTAAAATGCCTTTTTAAAAGTTACGCGAGAAGAGTGCACTTCAGCAAAGTCTCTTGCAAACCTTCGCTTAGTGGTTTTCTTCGTTAAATGTTTGATTTACCTTCACAAACTGTCCCATTTCCAGTAAATCCTTGTTTACATGCACAGCTGTAAGAACCTTCGCTGTTGGCACAGTCTGCGCTCTCGTCACATGGAGTGGAATCCGCTGAACACTCATCTATATCTGATGTTTTGAAAGTAAGAGAGGAGGTCACTCTAGAAGCTAAGGTGTTGGGTAGTGTGTCTATGTCAGTGGATTACTGTGTGCAGAAGTCGTGCTTATGCAATCATTGCTTTCATTTTGGAGACAGACAACATTTTTGGGAGAAATGCAGTGTGTGCTAGGCCACAGGGATATTTTTGTCTTCCTTAGCAAGTGTCTTGAGTATAATGTTTCTCGGTTATTCCTATTTCTGTTACATTAAATCTTAATCGTCCCAAAGAGCTCGAGTTTAACACTTTTCAATCAAAGGCTTCCTTGAGCACCTATGATGTTCTCGGGACGTTGGTTTCAACGCATCTTACTATTAAGAAAGAAATTGAAGAATCTTAGTCAATAAGATGTGCTGGTTACCTTGACAGTATGTCCCATTTCCTGTGAAGCCGTCATTGCAGGCACAAGTGTAGGAACCGTTGGTGTTGGTACATGCAGCGCTTGCATCACATGGACTGGGATCTGCCAAGCACTCATTGACATCTGAAGGAAACATGCACGATAGAAAACAACCAAGTTATATCAAATGATTCAAGTTGACCATCGTGGTAATCTTCCCTTGAAAAAATTCTTCTAACCAGAAGGTGTTATCGATAACCGGAAAACAATGTAGGTTAAGTAAAAAATAGTACAGCCGTTACCGAAATGAGAACGCATAGCTATTCACAAGGCGCGCATTAGAGTAACTCCATTAATGTCGCTTAATTTTGGAAAAATCTCTATAAAGATATGATTGTCTTGCGTAGTAATTAGCATTCCATCCATGCCGCTGCAGGCCTGGAGAACTCTATATTTCACTGCAAAAGTGGAGGCTTCTTGCAGTCAACCGACATCATTACCAAAAAAAAGGTAATGGAAGCAGCTGTAATAAAAAACAACAAAATCAAAGAATTACCGAGACAAATAACTCCATTTCCGACGAAGCCATCTTTGCAAGTACAAGTAAACGATCCATCGTTATTGAAACAATCTGCGTTTTTATCACAAGGGTTTCCATTCTTTGTACATTCGTCGACGTCTGGAACCAAGTATAGAATTGATCAATACCTGTTTTATATTAGAGTTAATGTATCCATAAATTGGATCCACATCATTAATAGTACAAAGGAAGAGCAGTATGATAACTTGCGCTGATGGCTGATGCCACAGATTTTAAAACATCCTAATCTGCCTTAAGATAAAATAACTCTAGATAGTAGTCAAGCGGCTAGGTAAGGTGTAAGCAAAACCAATCACGCGATGAAAATAGGCAAACACAAGTAGTTTACAAATGGTAACTTACCAACACAAATTGTTCCATTTCCTGTAAATCCATCTTTGCAAGTACAGGTAAAAGATCCATCGTTGTTGAAACAGTTGGCATTGTTGTCACATGGGCCGCCATTCTTTGAACACTCGTCGATATCTGAGAAAAGATTTGCATACCATGTAAACCATATTAAAAAACCAAGAAACCAGAAAACAAAAATATGAAAATGAGTACCATTGCACGATGTTCCATTTCCAGTGAATCCCAGTCGACAAGTACAGACAAAAGAGCCTTTGGTGTTGACACAGACAGCATTCTCGTCACACAGGTCCGATGTCACACATTCATCGATATCTAACGACAAAAATATCAAATATGTTACCGTGTACGCCCGTTTATGTAAGTCTTGATGTTCACAAGCACAACCTGTTCTTAGAATTTTACTTACCAACACAAACTGTTCCATTTCCTGTATATCCATCTTTGCAAGTACAAGTGTACGATCCGTCATTGTTCAAACAATCCGCCTTTTCATCACAAGGGCCGCCATTCTTTGAACACTCGTCGATGTCTATGGGAAAACAAATAATTAGAACACGAGAAACTTGATGTCACGTATAAGTAGCTCGAAAAATAGCACTTTGCAATATTTACCATTGCAAGTTGTTCCATTTCCAGTGAATCCCTGTCTACAAGTACAGATGAAAGAGCTGTCAGTGTTGACGCAGTCAGCGTTTTCGTCACAAGGTTTCGACGACAGGCATTCATCGATATCTATTAAGAAACAACAATTTTCAGTTTTGTCGTCTGCGCCAGTTGATTTAATGTTTCTCGTTGAGGACAAGCAACAGAAAAGCAGGCAAACAGACCGAGAGGCAAAAAAAAAAAATAAAAAAAATAAATGAAAAATAGAACTAAAGAAATTAATTAAATGTGAAAAAAGCCCGAAGGTACAAATATTCTTCAAATTGTAATTTACCAACACAAACTGTTCCATTTCCCGTAAATCCTTCTTTGCAAGTACAAGTGTACGATCCATCATTGTTCAAACAGTCGGCATTCTCGTTACATGGGCTGCCATTCTTTGAACATTCGTCAATGTCTAAGACAAAATTGTTAGTTAAACGAAAAATTTCATGCCAAGTATATACAGCTCAAAAGCTACGACAGTATAACAATCACCTTTACAAGTTGATCCATTTCCAGTGAATCCTTTTTTGCAAGAACATATGAAAGAGCCGTTGGTGTTGACACAATCAGCATTTTCGTCACACGTGTTCGCGACCAGACACTCGTCGACATCTGACGAGAAACAAAAACGTTCATTCAATTTGAGTGTTCTGTTCCTCTTTCAAGTCAGACAAAAATGTGAAACCAGGGAGGCATTCTCATCGAAGTTCTTGCCCTTCCATTTTACGCTACTGGCTACAACGTTTAATTGGTGAACTTGGTACGTTATAACCCACAAGGATTTCCAGTGGAAGGTTGCAAAAGGAAAAATAAAGAATGCGGAGGCAGAAGTTGTGTGCATTGTTCTTGCCAGTCTCCAATCTCCCCTCCCCTTTGTCGTTTATCTCCACAAGGCTTACAAGAAGAATTCACAAGAAGCCTATTACCTGTGCATGATTCTCCATCTCCTTCAAATCCACGACGACAGGAACACTCGTATGAACCGTTTGTATTTAAACATGCTGCTTTAACATCGCAAGGGTTGACTGCACACTCATCAATATCTAATATGAACAAAAATAAATTAAAAATGTACATCGAGACGCCGGATCGAAGCGATACAACATGCAATACGTTTTAGTCATATGAGGTTCACAGTAATGTGGTTATGAATTACAAGGATGCTCGTTTAAATCTTCCCCTTATGATGAACTTAAACGAGAATGTTTTAAAACAGTAACAGTAGAGTGTGAGCTACAATGGGTAAGGCACAAAAACCACCAAACCGACGGCCATCAGCCAACCAACTAGCCAAACAAACAAACAAACAAACAAACAAACAAACAAACAGAAGCAGAATTATATACAAGGCACATGCAACATGTATGTAGAATATAATTTACCAACACAAGCTGTTCCATTTCCAGTAAAACCATCTTTGCAAGTACAAGTGTACGATCCGTCATTGTTCGAACAATCCGCATTCTCGTCACAAGGGCTGCCATTCTTGGAACACTCGTCGATATCTGAGACAAAATAAATAATTACAACGTCATGCTATGAACAAACAGCTCAGAACGTAGCGTACAAACATATTCATGAGTACCTTTGCAAGTGGTTCCATTTCCAGTAAATCCTTTCCTACAAGTACAGGTGAAAGAACCGTTGTTGTTTACGCAGTCAGCATTTTCATCACATGGGTTGGTGGTCAGGCACTCATTGATATCTAAAGAATAAAATTTTTCATTTACTACACTTGGTCAGTTAAATTAACAATTTTGCTGGTAAACAATGTGAACAATTACAGAAACAATTACAATCGTTTATATTGCTCGGGACAACATTGACAGGAGGGGAGAAAATTCTCAGAAAATTCACGAAACATTCTTTAGTTCAATTTTCAGTACACAGTAGCCACCTGGAATAAAGGATTAGCAAGTCAAAACCCAAGGGTTTTAATTGTTACCTGTGCAGGTTTCTCCGTCCCGTTCAAATCCAGGGCCGCAGAACACCCGAATGAGCCGTTTTTATTGAAACGCGCAGCATTCACATTACAAAGATTGGATTCACACTAGTACTCATCAATAACTAACATAAATTGGAAGCGCTTGCACTAAATCACTGATGCTGGTTACTTGTTAAGTGGAATTTGTGTATGTCTACGAGTTTATAACAACATTGATTTTAATTCATTGACGCAAAATACACTGCAAACAACGCTTGAGTTTCGCAGCATTTCGTATTATTATTATTTATTATTATTATTTTTTCTTAATTAGTCAGATTCATGCTGGCGGATGCTGAGTTCTCAGTCGTGGGTACAAGTTAAGTGTTTTGTTTAAGGAAATAAAAATTAAAACTAATAATTATTAGACTAATAAACACCTGGTAAATCAATCATAGATTAAGCATAGAAATCGCATAGTAGTTATATTAACTATGCTTGTCTTGGGCGATGCTGAAGTGTAGCGTCAAGAAAACTCTACCTTCGCAGTTCCTTCCGTCTCCCGAGTATCCAGCAAGACATGAACAGATGAATGAGCCCGCAGTGTTTTTGCACCCAGCAAACAAGTGGCGGTCATCCGTACCTTTCAAACACTCATCTTCGTCGGAGGAAGATAAGCAAAAACTTCGTTTCAATTAACTTAATTTTCTATTGAGCAGGCTACCAGGAATGATGGTATGTTTTACTCAATGTATTTTTTTTTTAATATTTCCCGAAGAAGTTTTGGGAAAATCCGAAAATTTTTGAAATTCAAAGATATTCCTAGCGAGATTGTCTTCAAATCTACAGATTTTGGAAAATATTGTTACATTCGCCACTGGAATTGCCGGAAAACCGGAGTATTTGATCGAACGGAAAGCGCACATATATAATATATCCTCTGACGGAAGTAATCAACGCGTTTGATGCAGTCCTGTTTGTGGGGTTCAAAAGGAAATCATCCTGGCGAAGGCTAGGTTTCCCAACAGAACAACACGGGAATGACTGCATCACGTTCTACCTTCTTGCGTTTATATCCGTTGTCGTTAATTTTTGAACTCAGTTTATTTTATATTTCAACTGTACGTGGCTGTTTTTTTTCTGATATGTTAACTTTTTTTAAAATTTGTCCTTATCAAATACTGATTGTTAGCAACCGTAGGGCAGAATAAGTTTGCTTTCAACATTTATATCATCTCAGATGTGGAGGTTTAACCAGTTAGCCTCTCGATCGAGTTAGAAACTTTTGAGATTTTCATCATGTCTAACATTCTAAAGTGAAGTAATTAATATAGTCACAAAAAGCAAGCAAGCAAACAAACAAACAAACAAACAACAGCAACAACAAAACGAAAGTGTACAGTGTTCTGTTCAGTTGTACCTTGACATAAATTGCCGTCTCCTTCAAACCCAGTCTTACATCGACAAGTGTAGCTGCCTTCTGTGTTAGAGCAATTGGCGTTCTCGTCGCACTCATTAGCTCCCGTTTCGCATTCGTTAATGTCTTTCAAAAGAAAAGAATAAAGGACCCAACTCGTGGATTAGTTGAAAAAGCATAACGATGCGCACGATTCAAGAAAGCAACATAAATTGCAGTCTGGTTCCCAGGTGCCGCGATCCTTTTGGTCGCTCGGTCACGGTTGAACGAGAGCGCTTGGGCTCTGGGGACGAGATTGTTAAAAATGCCACAAGGCCAAAGGACGTCTAAACACATGTGCGACCGCTGGAAATGAGTAAAGGAAGCATTATGTCTCATCGCTGGGGCGGATGCAGGATTTAAGTGAAGGGGGTTCGAGATGCGGACCGCCGAAGGCAGTCTCCCTATAGGGGAGCCTCCACTGTAAAATATTAACACAATTGAGGTCCTCGGAAATGGGATTTCCGACATTCTGGGGCCAAGTCAGCAAGGCTCACTTTTCTAAATTTTATTGGGTTGGACCAGACCTCCCGGGTCGCCGCCTCCACCAACCTTATGGTTTGGAACAGGGCACGTTCGATATATCAATCATTCTAACGTAACTCCGAGTCTTTCAGGACAAACACCTATATTTGGTATTGCTTTCTTTGTATCCAAGCGTCTTCTGGGAATTGAGGGACAAAAGAAACTTTGCAGATTTACAATTTTGACCCGAAAGCCTTGGAGCAATGTTAGAATATTGAGATATCGAGCGTTGCGTATTGTTGCCGGCTTTTCTTTGCTTCAGCCCAACTCTGTTACTGAAATGAGCTATAATTGTTTGACGTTTTTATGGATAGTCGATTATATACTGTTTCTGGGAATTTCCGTCAAAGAATCTCACCCGAACAGTTTCCGTCGAGTTCTTGCTTGAATCCAGTAGAACATTCACATTTGTAAGACCCATCTGTGTTAACGCACTGCGCGCCATAAACACATGTGACATTCAATAGCAAACACTCGTCGACATCTGCAAAAACATCAACCCTGCGGTGAAGATATTCCTTCCTTCCTTGGATTTGAGTTTTAGTCGACTGTATAGCTGAAACGATTAGCTCCTATATTCTCATAACTTGTCACTTGAGTCTTAGATAAACGAAATAGAGAGAAGTCGGTGCAAAATCAGTCCATATGTGTCATTGCTTAAAGGGATACCTTATAACATGACATTTTCGCGACACGTTAATTTCACGAATTTCGCAATTTAAAAAAATGTCGCGAAATTAATTAAAAAGTGACGCGAACAATAAGTGTCGCGAACTAAACATGACACGAAAATTAAGTGACTAACATATGCATTATGCTATTGTTAACATATAGTCCAGCCATTGCGTTTTTGTTACTTTTGGCGTTATTCCGGGCGTCATTGTACCTTTGACAAAGTCGGTTTACTAAATTCGAGGACGTGTTTAAGTAACATTGCTAAGGAAATAAATTGTGTGTAACTCGAAAACGCGAATTTAAAGCCAGTGATTCAAAATACAAAATTTTCGTAGAAAAGCAGAATTTAAGGGTCGCGAAATATGTGCACCCCAAAATCGCGAAATAAACGTGTCGCGAAAATTTCATGTAATAACTGAAGGTAGAAGGGATTATGTGATATGTCAAAAAGGACGTTTGCGTGACAAAAGATGTTTCCCCAAGGAAACTCAACCGTCGATATCCATTTCCCCGGAAGTATTTTCCAAACAACAATACCGTGGTTTACTAGTGTGAGGTCTAGACTAGAAGTTTTGCCGCACAGAGTGGAAGTAGTGTCATCTTTGCATGGGCGGTCACGCACTCGTTGTCCCGCAACTCTCAGAACATGAAAAGAATTAACCCCCTGATGAAATGCCTGCTTCTTGCCAAGCGTCGCTACCATGTTCACACCCGCTTCCAGTTAACAATATCATTGCGCAAGTAGGGCTTCCCATCCCGAATAAAACAAAGCAATAGTATATACTTTTTTGTGTGATGATTGAAGTGAATGTTATGAGTTTACTCCAAACAAGATCATGATTGTCCCGCGTCGTCACCGTTAGACAGATGCCCAGAGCCTTCAGAGGTTAAATCAAAAGAAAACAAACCCCGCATTAGAGTGATTTAAAAAATCTGCTTTCTTTTCTTCCCGCGTCCGAGTATGTCGTCAACAGGCGACGAAGATTAAGAACGTATTCAACTTATTATTGTTTTGCTGTACCAACAAATTTTCATCGAAACACTTGCTTGTCAATAGATATGGAGAATTAATGTTCTAAACTTAGGGCTGTAAGGCTAAATACAGCCTCAAGTGTACAAACTTTAGCGGGTGTCGATGTCAGATGCTGACCACTCCGCTGGAAAAGTATTGATTTTCAAAAGGGCGGTATTGCGGCAAATCAATTAAGTAGTTAATCCCTTATTCTGGTACACGGCCAAGTCTGGCGAAATTGTGATCATGTCCTAAAGATAGATTCCTTTCAGTTTCGCTAGTTTTGTCCCAGTCGATAAAGAAAGTAGACGTCAACAGAAAGTTCTGTCGTCTTGCCTTTTTTATAAAATCGTCAAAGTTCGCCGATTAATTTCGTCTTAGCAAATAATAAATAATAAATCAATCATCATTGTGTTAAATAAAGCAAATTTGAAATGACATAACTCTGCTTGATGCCGTCAGAAGAAGATGCTGAACCAAGAACAGTTCTAAACATTTTCTACGGTTTAACGAACAAGGGAATAAATGTATCTACAACAAAGGAACGATGAGTTTACTGAAACTGCAATTGAAGAGAAAATCAACACTGAGTATTATAATCTGTTAAGTGTTTCTTCACTTTTGGCTCTGCGCCTGCTATTTCATCGTGTAACAAACGATTTCTGCGGTTAACAACAAAAAGCCATGCGCCTAGAACAATTTCGCAGCGGGTAACCTTGCTTAGAAGACTTCAAATTTTATTTGGGGAACACAGTGGTGAAAAAAAAAAAAAACCAAGGTTTTCTGACAGAACAGATTATTGTTTTATTGAAAATAATTATACGCTGACGACTGAGATCGAAAAATCGATAAGGCGGACAACGGAGGTTATCAAACCGATTAGGAGGTCATTGGGAATAATCGAATCGAAGTTGTTGAAGGCCGAATTACCGTTCGTCGATGTATAAGCGTATGGAATTGAAGTCACCGATCGAGTTAAGGAACGAAGTCGAACACGTTATTCTTTCAATAAAGGACCGGTCAACAGCAACAGCAAATCGCAGGCATTTCATGCGGTGAGATGAAGCGGAAGATAAGTCAAAGATGAGGAGAGACAGACAGACAAAGACAAGTTGAAGACAATTTTACTTGTTGCATTTTAACGTCCCCCTTTCCCGCCTACCTTCTCAATACCACCGTTACCTGAACAATTTTGGCCGTTTCCACGGTATCCATCGTTACAGCTGCACGTGTAGGAGCCATCAGTGTTTGTACAAAGCGCGTTCTTGTCACAGAGATTCACATCTCGTTCACACTCATCCACATCTGTTGATGGGAAAGACATTTTACTTTCTGCATTAAACAAATAGATATTTGGATATGCGAGGTGATGCGTCTGCATACGTGCACTTGACCCTGCCAACTTGATGTTCTTATAAAAGTAACGAAATTTCATCTGATATTTGAAACTGAGCTCCGTATGGGACGCACCTGTCCTCTAAATATTTGCGCACATCTGTCTTTTCGAATGGATGATGGAATGGAAAGGAGGGGAGAGGAGAGGAAAATAAAGGAATTGAAAGGTAAAGAGAGGAAAGGAATGGGAAAGAAAGAAAATAAACGAATAGGAAGAGATGGGAGAGGAGAGAAAAGGAAAGGGACCGAAAAGGAAGGAATGGAAAAGAAAGGAAAGGCAGGAAAATGATGGGTAAGATAAGAAATTGAAAGGAAAGGAAAAAATAGGAAAGGAAAAGAAAGGAAAAGAAAGGCAAGGTAGAGAAAGAAAATGAAAGGAAAGGAAAGGTAGAAAGCGACACTGAAAACTTTTGACCACCTGCGAGTTAACAACAAATAACAACAACAAGATAAGAAAAGAACCCATCTCACCAGAACAGTTCTTTCCGTCTCCGGTGTAACCAGGTTTGCATGAGCAGGTGTACGAGCTTTGTGTGTTGCTGCAATCCGCATTAGCATTGCAATCAGATGTCCCAGAAATGCATTCATCAATGTCTACGTTCAGGACAATAATAAAAAAAATAACTATGTTAGAATTACTACTTTATTATTACTACTCTTTCTATCCCTTTGAAAAATGCAAAGAGAAAGTGTTTTGGGTTATGAGTGGTTAGTGATGCACATTGGTAGGTGCGGAGGCCTGTAATTGGTGAGTTGCAGCTGATGTTAGGAGATTTAGTGATTAACAGATCCTTCTGTGGTGTTTTTAGGCGATGAGACACTTTAATTTTAAAAGTGGGTCACGAAGTCAGTGTTCGACATATTTCCCAAAAATTGCCGGTTGTGAAAATTTGGGGAGATTATCTGCGTTGAACTGACGTCTTGTCATTCTACAGGAAGTGGAGTAATGCTGATAACGCAGTTAAACAAGTTAGCAGATTATATCAAAACAAAGCTTACTAAAATCTTTTGAATGCAATACCACTGTATCAGTTTGGAACATGATTGTGTCAAGCATTTTTGTAAACGATCGAGCGAACAAACGAATGAATGAATGATAATTTAATCAACTGATTGACTGATTGATAGACGGAGTGCTTGATTGATTGATTAATTGATCGATTTAGAATGATTTATTGCTTAATGAAGTAGTCAATTAGTGAGGGAATGAACAACAGTGTCTCCATCTCTTGTGTACCTACCTGAACAAGCTGTCCCATTCCCTGTAAATCCAGATTTACAAATACAGTTGTAAGAGCCTTCACTGTTTGCACAGACTGCGTTGGCATCACAGACAGACGCTCCAGCCGTACATTCATTGACGTCTATATGTGAAAAAACAAAAACCCAGCGACATAACTATTTACTTCCACACAAAAAAACACATTTCATAAAAAGTGACTGTTAGTTTAGCATGAATGTTTCGATAGCCCATTGAGAGTTGGCCTATATAAACCTCCCTATCAAAGCGAAGCCTGGTGCACAACCATTCGTATGAAAACGAGTTTAATTTAATTACATGTGAAGGAAATCTCATTTTCATATGAAAGAAATGGGAAATGGCCTATTGAGACGGGGCTTGCAATGCTCAAAGTCTGTTTCCACGGAGGTAGCGCACTGCACTAGAGAGCAGATATCATATTTTTAGCCTTCCGGGTGCTCAAAACAACTCATTCAGGTGTCTGCATTAGGCTATCCAATCACAAAAGTACAAAGCCGTACGTGGTTTCCCTGGTCTTTCATAAAAACATAACCAGTCTCCGGAAAGTGCTATGCTGGTTTAATGAAAAGGAAAACTCTTTCATCACATTAAACTCTAAAGAAATACTCTTCGGAGCAGCTACTGATAACGATAATAAAATTAAAAAAACTAAATTTCTGCCTCCTCTATGCCAAATTCTACTTTCATTTCCGGACAATCAAACAACGTGCATGTAATTGGGATGTTTTTGTCCGGAAACTACATTTTATGTTGAAAATAGAAGGTTTCGCTTAGTTCAATTTGTCCTCTACTTCTCGCAATCCAAAAACAAAAANAAAAAAAAAAAAAAAGAAAAAAAGAGCATTCAAATTTTTATTCGCATTACATCCTGACAATTATTCTAAATTCGTAACGTCATACCACTGCACGTTGTTCCGTTTCCAGAATAGCCTGCTTTACAAGTGCAGTTAAACGAGCCTTTGGTATTTAAACAGTCAGCATTGATGTCACACTCGGTTTCCTCCGCCGCACATTCGTCAATATCTAGGTTGAAATCAAATGGTAAAGTTATTTGTTTATTACTGGGATAAGCTCCGGCCTGATGGGCCACTTTGCTCGTATACAGACTTTACCTTTTACCTTACCTGAACATCACTGGAATCTCCATTCACGCATGTTATGCAGTGATCCTAACCCTAACCCTAACCCATGTTTGCCTGAGTTAGCTTCGACACTTAAAGGAGAGTAGAGTTGTTATTTAAAGGTCTATCTAGCAGAGCTATTAACTGTATCGGCAACGAGCCAAAATTCCATGCGATTCTACACTGCTTGCAGTGTTGATGCACAGACAGCATACTTACCTGTGCAAGTCGTCCTGTTTCCAGTAAATCCGGATTTGCACGTGCAGTCATACGAACCTTCGGTGTTTACACACTCTGTATTGTTGTTACAGTCTGCTGTTTCAGCCTCACATTCGTTAATGTCTAAGTTGAAACAGAACGAAGCACTTAGAGCAAGCCAGGTAGTCGAGATATTAGTTAGTCCGTCGGTCTGTTAGTCGGTCAGACTGAGAGTCAGTCGGTTGGTCGTTCAGTCAGTCAGCTGGTGAGACAGCCAGTTAGTCGGTCAGTGCGTCAGACCGTTTGTCCGTCAGTTAGTACCTCAGCCAGTCAGTCAGCTAATCAATCAGTCAGTAAGTCAGTCAGTCAGTCAGTTAGTCAGTCAGGAGTCCGTCAGTCCATCAGTCAGTCAGTCAGTCAGTCAGTCAGTCAGTCAGTCAGTCAGTCAGTCAGCAGTCCGTCAGTCCATCAGTCAGTCAGCCACCAATTGTTTACGCTAGGCAAGAAGTTGTCATTTAACATGGTATTTTTCTCTACCTAGACAAATGTCTCCAAGGCGAGCGAATCCGGATCTACAAGTACACTGATACTTTCCACTAACTTCTAAGCACTCCTCGGTAGCAGAACAAGGCCGGTCACAAACACCTATAGCTGAAAAGGAAAACAAGCAATTTAGCAAGAGCGAACAGATCTCACTTCAACTTATTTCTTCGTGGAGTTGTGATCAAGTAATGGTTTAAGGCGTCAGATTTAACATTTGACGGCAAAGAGTTTATGATAAGCCCCATCTTTGAATTCTGTATGTCCATAGGCTATGAACTTGAAGCTAACTACATAAATGGCTAACTTCACAAACCCGTGCAAGTGGTTCCATTTCCGGTGAAGCCAGGATTACACGTGCAGCTATAGGAACCTTCGGTGTTGGTGCAATACGCGTTTACGTCACAGTCGGTGATTCCAGCGGTGCATTCGTCTAAATCTGTTGACCAACAACACAAATCAACACGGAGAATGAAGCTACTTTCTTGGGTATATAGTCATAATGCAGATTTTCCTTCTTTAAAATTTGAGTGAAATGAACAATCGAATGACTTTAAGGCAGCTACAGTGTACATTACGACAGCAAATTACGATTAAATTAGTCATTATCCTTGAAATAGCAACCTTCTTCGAGACAAAAAAAAAAAAAAAAAAAAAAA